ACACACACACACACACACACACACACACAAAACCCCTTCCAGAAGAAGACCCAATAAAAATTACTGGGTCGTCACTTTCTAGTTTTCCTCTAAAATATCCACAGAGATATATTAATGGAAAAACATTTCTTCCTTCCTCAACATGAGCTTGCCATGTTCTTAGGCACAGAAGGGAGCTTCATTGGGCTGACATCCCAGCCGGGAGCAGGGGTGGGGTTCTCAGTACCATAAACTACGAAGGACAATTAATGATGTGAAAGCATCCAGCAAGAATGTACCCTAAGGACAACGCAGAAGAGTCTAGATGAGGAGGGAGAGCCATTAGTGCTCAAGTAAAATTTTACTTCCATAAAAAATTCTCTTGAGTCAAAGTAATTGAGCCTGTAAATCACAGTCTCCCTCCTCCCCATTTAGAAATTAGTGGGGGAAGAGGGGAGGCAGGTTTTGCTTTGGCAAAATCATCCAAGAGGGCAGCTTATAAGGCCTCCAAACTAGCAACATTTAAAATCCCACCAACAGTGAGAACCATTCTTAAGAAGCCACCCGCCTCCAGGAAGAAGAGGCACACGAATGAGAAGCTTCGCAGTAGGACCAGAGTTGACACAAGCCAGCAGCGTCCCGCTGACATGAGGGATGGGTCCAAGTGGCAAGGTGAGCCCAACGGTAACCCTTGTTTGAGCTGTCAAAAGCCCTTCTATATCAGAGGTCTTAGAAGAAGTGGAATGGCTGAATAATTTACAGTCTGGTTCTTTGAAAATGCCAAAGCTATTCAAGGTTTTAGAAAACCCTGGGGATGAGATGAAGCATATAACTGCATATAAGGATTAATTGGAATACCAGGTGAAGCGTGAGGCTCAGCTCTTGTGTACCAGTTCTTCCTCACTTTCCCAGGGAGCCCCTGGGCTCTGCTCGCAGTCACAGAGGATGGGTTACTGTGTGCTTTCAGAGGACCCCTTTCCTCTCCCTGGAACACTTTCAGGCCTGCAATTTCACATTTATTTGTACAATTCACTATTTTCTCCTACTGAAATATAGGCCCCGTGAGGAAAGAGACCTTTTGTGTTTATTATTTCATTATCAGTATTAGTCCCTAGCACATATGATTGTTCAGTGAGTGAAAAAATTAATGCTGGTGGTAGCAACACGAATGATTTTAATTTCCTGATGGCCTGCATTGTCCGAAAATTACAAGTTTTTATTTGTATTCTAATGCTGAATGTGCAGGGGCTGTTTATATAGTGAAGGAAAAAGAAAACTTAGGGAAGCAAACTTTAGCACTGCTTCTGTCTGTCCTCTTGTCTGTGAAACTACAGCCCCACTTTGGAGTCTTTCCTGAGCTGGGGCAAGCCTTGTGAGCCTCGTGATTCAGATGTGCTTACATTTCAGAATCGGGGCAAGAAATCAACTGGCTGCCAGGGATTCTAGCAGCACCCATGTGGACTGTGAGATGGCCGAGGGAACTTGATGCATTCTTGCTCGCTGACACTGGGCTTACATAGAATTCTTTTAAAGATGACTATGAAACATGGTAACAGGCCTGTGGAAAAATCGGAAGTACACGTAGGGTTCTGAGCAGGTGGAGGCAAAAACCTTTCTTTCCTGTGCGTTGTAGGTCACAGAAGTTTTCTTTAACTGCACATGGTATCTGTGACATAGGAGATTGGCTGGGTTGAGAAGAGAACCAGGATAGGTTAGACGAGATGGCACGGGAACCCAAATCATAATAGCAACATCCAAATGCTCACCGAAGCCTGTAAAAATAGATACTAATTGCAGACAGTGAATTGATGATCTGGAAGTTGTCCTTGGACTCCACTCCTAGAGTACAGATAGATGAAAATGATAAACAGACCCCAAGATTGCACATGAAGAGAGTATAACGTTTTTATGCAAAACATTACAAAGGGATTACAACGACATTTTTTCTGTTAAAGCTTTTACATTCTAAGATTAAAACAAATCTTGGGAACAAAACAAAGTTCCCCAAAAAGTCATCTTCAAACAAAAAATGAACCCCAGTCTTTTCTGCAGAACTAAATTCTATTTTCTTTATTATTTATAGATTTTATTTACTTGTTTATTGGGGTGGGGGGAGTGGCAGGCAGAGGGAGAAGCAGACCCCTTGCTGAGCAGGGAGCCCGATGCGGGACTCGAACCTGGGACTCCAGGATCATGACCTGAGCCGAAGGCAGTCGCTTAACCAACTGAGCCACCCAGGCGCCCTGATACAGCTGTCTTAACACCCGTTACTCCAACCCCTTTGTAGCATGTACAAAGCTTGGTGATTTTGAATTGAAAGAGCTGATGTGAGCAGAGTGGTAGCATCTGGCGGATTCATGATAGCCCTGAACTGTTCAGCCCATAAAGCATAGATTATTTCACTCGATTTTATCTGATAACGTCACACCTAATTATTTCATGGTTCTGTGAAACCACAATCAGCTGTCTGTGTCGTCAGGGGATGAAGTCTCAGGCTGGAAAGAACCAAGGCTCCGTGAGCGTGAACTGGGAAACATGCGTGATCGTGTCTCCACTGTCCGTGGTGAGGTATGCCGACCGCGCTTTCTGTTGTTGACTTCTTACAGGGAAAACCATAACACTGGCAAGAACCATGGACATTCCCCGGTCTGTGCAGAACTTCCGGTTCTTCGCCTCCTCCATCCTGCACCACACATCAGAGTGCACGCAGATGGACCACGTGGGCTGTCTGCACTACACGGTGCGGGCCCCTGTGGGGATCGGTAGGTGCTGCTCAGGGAAAGCCTGGTCTGCGGGGGTGCATAGGGATGCTCCCTCAGTTCTATAGAGCTCATCCAAAGGAACAGACCAAGAGAAAGGGAAGAGCGGACTTACACTTTGACCGAAAATTAATGGGCCTCAAAAATCTATTTCTGGTTTATTTTCCTTTTGTCACATTACCTGCATATTCCTAGAACATTGTTCTCAGGAAATTACCAGGAAAAGAATAATGCTGGGAGGAGATTCACACACGAAGATTCCCCCGCCCCCCACAATTAAAAAAAAAAAAAAAGTTTATTTCCAGAGAGTCTTGAAGTTAATAGCATGGATTTTGGATATGTGCAGGGCCAGTTTCATAATATTTGTATACTTCAGGATTCTTATCTGAAAAACTGGAAGCATAGTTTAATTTTATATTTATATATTTTAGTGAGAATTAAATAAATTAGTAAGTGTAGGGCACTCTGAATTAGCTGCTTCCTGCTTTCTTTTGGAGGACATGTAAACATGAGCAATGACTCAAAATATCCACTAGAGGTCACTGTTCCTCCAACCACCAAATACCCGTATTTATTAGTTACATTTTATGACAGGATAAATAAATTAAAAGGAACGAAAATGGGACATATTACCACCTTGGTTATTTGAACCCTTTGGAAATCATATTTTGAAGGAATTGTAAAAGCTCAAACCTCCCTCTTGAATGAATAATGCTGAAAAAATATTCTGTTATCCTCTAAAGAAAAGATTTTCTAACGAGAAATATAATCATATAGAATATATGTTTACTTTCACAGCATAGATTTTAAGGGAGGGGTATAAAATAAGATGAATCCATTTACAAATTCATAAGGTAGATTTTTTTTTTTTTTTGGTCATGCTTTATGGTTGGAAACCTGGTTGGTTTCAGAATATCGCATGGGGACACGTTCTAGATGCTGGTTCTGTTACTTATTTAGCAATCCTATCTGGTCATGAAAGAGGTGAGAATCTAGAGAGAATTTTTTATTAAAAAGTCCTCTGGCTAACCAAAATGGATCTCATAGTCTATGAATCAAAATTCATTGGCTTTACTAAAAGGAAGGCTTCCACAGGACAGACTCAGAACCCATTTGCTCTTATTTTACCAATAATTCTAAAAAGCTTGAGATTTTATGTCTTAATCCACAACAGGTTAGAAACAGTGATGGAAAAACTTAAAAGAAATAGTAGCTAGACAATTTGATGATGAAGGAGAGAGAAGTTTAAAAAAAAATGTGAAGGTCAGTCTATAAATCTCAAAACTCATCACATTCAGAAACTGTTTGGTAACAGGTGACAGCCTCTTGGCCCTGGAGCTTACATTGCCCTTGTTCATAAATACAATTGGTACATCGTCAAGAAAAGAGTAAATTGTATTGATTTATAGTTTTCAAAGGCACAGTTGCTTGTAATACATTTTAGAGTTATTTCCCCGAGGTTGGCTACAAGTAAGCCAAAGCTTTATGCAGGGTGAAGGAGTTCCATGTTAATAAACCCAATTTGGCCAGTCTAGTTTGAGGGGCCTGCCATTGGTGGCAGTGTTTCTGTTCTCCTCTTGTAGCCGGTCTGATCAGCCCCTGGAATTTGCCACTCTACTTGCTGACCTGGAAGGTGGCACCAGCCATTGCTGCTGGCAATACGGTGATAGCCAAGCCCAGCGAGCTGACTTCGGTGACTGCGTGGATGATGTGCAAACTCCTGGAGAGAGCAGGTAGTGAGCGTTGGGTCTGGAGAGGCACAGGATTGGCTTTGGGGTTGCACATTTTATGCGCTTCAGCCACCTCAGCATCCTGACACTTGAGAAGTTGTTTTGGATAGAAATCTGCTCAGAGCAAAATTGATTCCATCGACATCTTTGGTTTTCCTCTCTCTGATCCTTTTCTGAGAAATCCCCTTCATGCACAGGGTTGGATCACACTGCTTCCTCTCTTCACCCCTGTCCGTGCCACTGCAGGAATGGTTCCCCCGGCAGGGGGGTTGGCAGGCAGTGATGTGATTGCACAACTGTGAAGTGACAGCAGGCTTAAAGAACTCAGTCAACTCAGATACCAGTCTGCTCCTGGGATTGTCTTCAGTGGTCAATTTAAATCTTATATTTGAACCACATGTTAACCTTGATGCAAATAAGACTACTGTTAGGGACTTCTCTGGTTTGTATGGTTATACGATACCTGCTAGAAATAGCCATTTTCAAGAGATTTGAATACACCTCCCTCAGTTTTCCCTGCATTTGGAGCCAATGTGTGGAAGCTGATACAATATGGCTCCATGTCTTCTTTATGTCAACAGTGTCATGGCCACATTCAAGGTATGTTCCTGGGTACGTTCTGGGGTATAACTCAGCATGGGCACAGACACCGCACCAAGGTTGGAGGGTGTCAGGGGACCCTAACTTGCAACCCACAAGAAAGCCCCTTGCTATTAGGTCCCTGAGCTCAGGTCTTCATACACACCCTGGGTTGGGATGATGGGTGGCTGTCTTTCTGTCTGTCAGTCTCTGCTGTTTGTACTTCCTTAAAGCCCACAGAAAAGGTAGCACTGGGCTCACCCAATCCATAAGGTAGGTGGTTGGAAAGAACCCATATCTCCCTCTTCTGGATACCTTATCTCTCCAAGCAAAAACATACATATTGGCTTCCAAAAAAGTTGGGCCAGTTCTTTACTCTAGGATTTAGATGGCAGGTTGAACTGTGTGGCCTTATGACCCTAGTCTAGCTTCCCATTTCCCTTGTATTGTACAGAGGAATGAGGCCTCCCAGCTTCAGCCTTTGGGTGACATTTATGGATGCCCTAGGCTTCTGGAGGGTTATGATAGAAATGTGCCTACCTCTCCCATGTCCCACAGGTGTCATTCCTTCTTTACATGAGGGATCACATTCTAATGCCATTCTTTGCAAAATTAAGTGGCTAGTGTCTACAGAGGTGCAGGGCCTTTCCTCCCTGTCTGTTGACTATAGATTCCCTGGAGTGGACAGAAGTGGGGCCGATGCTCTGCTGTGATCTATGTTGGGGAGGGCAGCCATGCAGGTGGGGTGGTGCCACAGAGCTGTGTTCCCAGAACCACTCTCTTTTGAAGTCAACCACATCTTGATCTATGATGATTTCTCTTCCCTAAGCACTCTCCCCTTCCATACACCCAGCACCTGGTGTACACAAGAGTTTTACATTTCCATGTATTTACACAGCATTGATCTTATTTCTTGTGAATGAATAAGCTTGTTATACCAAGACAGTTCTTCCCTCCTTCCCTGCCTCTGCTGGCTTTGCTAAACTTTCTTCCTCTGGCCACCACGGAGAGTGTAAGGCTCAAATTGCACCTGTCTTAAGCCCTCAGTTTCTCCATTTGGATTGAGAATCTGTACGACAAACGTTTAATAGTGTAAGAAAAAGAAAGCTAACATGACCTGCTGGTGCATTCTGGATATTTAAAGAGCCAATCCTTGAGTCCTGAGCATTCAAACAGACTTGACAGATGACCTTCCTGTGCAGTAAAATCATTTAAAAAAGTATACAGTGAGTACCTCTTTTATAATTCTAGAGTATTCATTTCTTCTTGGGGGTACCATATGTATGCCTCATTCCTGGAGTGTCCACTGAAAGCAGATTTCTGGCCCTTCCTAGTTTTGTTTTGCCCAATGGAAGCTTGCTGCCACTCTGCCACATCTTTGTCCCTGGTGGAGGGACTTTATGCCCTGTGATGTCTCTTAGCCATTTACTCTGAGTTTTACCAAATTGTTATTTGCCAGTGTAGTGCCTTCTTTCTCTGATAACTGGCATATCTTAAGGGCAGAGGGCAGATGTCTCTAGAAAAATTTCATTACTGTCTCCATCAAATGGCAAAGTGGTGCTGAGAAATAATGGCCAGTAGGTAGCTCTTAACATATTAACACCGAAGTTCAAGGAAATGTAAAGCGTTAATGTCATTGTGTAGAAGGCAATTGGCCTGCTGAAATGAACTCATTTTCCCGGGGTGATACCTATGTGGTGTTTCTAAGTTTTCTTCACTCTTCGTTAAAATGCTGTTGTATACATTAGAAGTGATTTGATCCATTTTTGCCTTCAGGATTTATAAAGCCCCATAGTCCACCTTCTCTTGCCCCCAAACCCCAATCAGAAAATATCGGGCAAATATTCACATGCCCACTGTCTGATGGAGATGCAGGACCCCACCCTGCAAATGGTGGGAAACTTGTCCTTGTTTCTCCCCCACTGACCACTGTGAGGGCCCCTCTCCTGAGCCTCCTCTTTGCCCCAATGCGGGGCTCAGCTGCTCTCACATGGTGCCTGGCCTTGGACCTCCCCTCCGTGGCAGTGACCTGTGATACAGGACCGACCCAAGCTAGATTTTAAGAAGTCTGCACATGTGTGTAAAGGCGGGGCCATTGGAGGTGAAGCTCTGCCAGATACCACCATGAGTCACTGATCTCCACACCTGTCTCCAAGGCTCAGCTGAAGAGGGCCTCGTTTGTCCCCTCAAGTGATCAGGCTAAGGTTCTGGCTCAATGGGAAGGTGTTCTGGATGATAGTGGATCATCAATGAGAACTTGTTATTTATACTTTAAAAGCATATTCTGGAAGAGATGGTTTTAATCCAACAGAGTGTGTTTCTATTCAGGACAGAATGTCCAACCTGGACAGGGAAAGATAGCGGGAGCAGGGAAGGTAGTTCAAAAACCTTACACGTTGGAGGTTTTCTGCATTTGCTGTACTTCGAGGCTGAAGAAATATGGGGAATAAACTCAGCTAACCTCCAGACAAACCCTAAGAGCTTCCTGGACACAACACAATGGCACACAATGGCACACAGATTTTCTTTCTGGACACATAAAGCTTTCCAGAGTCAAGGACCATTTCTGATTTGGATAATGTACACAAAGACTTTATTCATTCATTCACTTAATTATTTGTTAACCATCTACACTGGGTTTTGCCTCCTAGTGGCTGCTATTTGACTTCACTTTGCCTCAGTTTGGATAAGGTGAGGATATTAATCCTCCCTACCTCATCCAGTTGCTGGGAGATCTAAATCGCTTCCAGGAATGATTGGCCTACAGTGAATGTGAACATTTACTGGTATTAATCTATCTGGCAAACTAGGGCCAAGGCACAGTGGGGACTGTGAGGAGCAGAACACAGACACCATTTTTGCCCTTGGATCGCACACCTGCCAGTGTTGGCTAGGTAATAAACAAGTAAAGCCATAAACACATAAAAAAAATACATGCAAATGTAAGGCAGTAGGGTCTCATGCTAGAAAGATGGGGGCACCTGTTTTAGGGTGTACTTGGCACTTTAAGTCAGTCCTAGAGTGTATGTCCATATCATGGGACACAGGGACCTTTAACTCAATGCTCACCTTCAATCTCACCTTCAATGCTCACAGTCAATCTCTTCTTCCCTCCACTTCACATTTTCACACTGAATTGTGACTCCTGAATGCCAACTTGGAGCAGGGCTCTCCTACCTTACAGGGCTTGGCCTGCCTGAGGATATATCTATGCTCTCAGCCTCTGATGCCTAGTTAATATTATGGAATGAATTAATTAGAATGTTCCACTCTTCATTTTTCTAAGGCAAAGCACCTGGAGAAATCCCACCTAGGGGGCACTGGAAGTGGAGGTGGCGCCATAGTCTTTGCTTTGCTTTTAAACTAGAGGCAGCCATAAAAGTCTACTCCCCCCCCCCATTCAAGCTACTGCACTTTCAAGGAAAACCTCAATGTCACCCGAAATTCTCAACATACTGAGAAGAATTACTGTTGTAATTTCTGTTACTGTTTCTGTATCCTATCCGGATACAGACCTGGAGACTGTTCTGTTTCCTGTCCAGGTGTCCCACCAGGTGTGGTAAATATTGTGTTTGGGACGGGGCCCAGGGTCGGCGAGGCCCTGGTGTCCCATCCGGAGGTACCCCTCATTTCCTTCACGGGGAGCCAGCCCACAGCCGAGCGGATCACACAGCTGAGTGCTCCCCACTGCAAGAAGCTCTCCCTGGAGCTGGGGGGCAAGAATCCCGCTATCATCTTTGAGGACGCCAACCTGAAAGAGTGCATTCCAACGACTGTCCAGTCCAGCTTCGCCAACCAGGTGTGTCCTCTGTATTGGTTTGTTTTGTTTTGAGTTTGTTTGTTTGTTTTTAAACTCTGTGACCCAGTTAGGCTGGATCTGTTTCATCACAGTGCCAAGCCAGGAGTGAGTGGGTTAATCTGGTGCTATTTCAGGGAAAGGAGATTGTGACATTGTGTTATTCCACTGACTCTGTTTTGTCTCAGTGTCCACCTGTGGTTCTAGTAGAATCATAGCTTCTGTTGGGCAAACTCCAGTTCTTGAGCTTTATCAGGTACCAGCCATGGGCAAAATTATTGTTTGCTTCTCCAAGCTTTTTCATCCCTTTATTCATAGAGTCACCCCCATTCTCTTCTTGCTGTCTAAATGTCCTATCTCCAGTAAACCTTGTGCTCCCCCAAAAGCATCCCAAATGCAGCACACATTTAGAAATAAATGCCTAAACCAGTCTAGAGAACGTTTCTGATGTTGGAGTCATGGATGTCACGGAGTCACGGGCAACTTTGCATCTCCTGAAATTATGTGACAGGTGTTTTTCTGGAGGCCTCAGTTCTCAGCAGATTCTTCGAGGCCATGGTATCCCAAAGGGTTAGGAACACTGATCCAGACAGACCAAACTGTAAGCCTCACAAAAAGGGCACCTGTGTCTGCCTTGGGGCCGCATTTGATCTTTAATGCCCAGGATCAGGCTTAGGGTAGAGCAGGTGTGCACAAATACTGAATGATTTTCTCCAAAGGGCCTGCTTTTTAAAAATTTTAGCAGCGAAAAAAGAATTAACTAAAGAGTTAGAACCACCATAGAAAGAAAGATGAGTGAAATGAGATATATCTTTAACTTGCCCAAGTTGCCATAACCTTTTGAACCTTCATTTCTTTGCCTGTGAAATCATGAAAGTAATAATGATGCTTTCCATTAGCGATTTTGTGAGTTGTAGAATGAAAACCATTCCTGACAGTGGTTATTTTCGTGATCATTATATTGTAATTATTTCTCTCGCAGTAATTCTTAGAGAAAGCGGCTTTGCTCTGTACCTCTCTCTATATCTCTATATACAAGTACGTCTGTATCTATAAAGAGAGTTTTTCTGGATCAATAGACTTAAATTTTAGATTTTAGAAAATAGATTTGTAATTTTATGATACAGCTATTTTAATCATTAAAATAAACAAGGATCAAGTATCAAAATGAACAGTTAAATCAAGCATTTGGGCGGCTTATGGTGACAGCATGGGGAGTGGGGACAAGCTGTGGACTGAGAATCAGCTGAGAGGACATTGGGTGAACTCTGCATGAGAGAAAATGCACTCTGAGCATGGAGATGGACTGTAGCTTCTTGGCTACCAGGACTGTGCCAGAACTTGAAATTGCTGAAAGAACCTTCCTCTTGGGGGTATTTTAAATGTCAGTGGGGAAGAGGACAGGAACCCAACTAGCTAATTCAAGACAACAAACAGACTTTAGGCAAACTAGAGGGGCTCGTTTCTTTTTCCTTAACCGAGAGATGAGTCCCATGTAGTGAACACTTCTTCCTCAGTTGAACATAATGGGCCACTTTGAAACATCTCTGTCACGCATAGTCTCCTTTGACTGGGGGCACACTCACACTTCGACACGCTGTGGGACACAGAAGAAATGAATGTGGACTTCCACATCACTCAGACTGAAGTTGAAACTTCTTGTGCCTGGTGGCCTTGGGCTTGTGTTTGTTCAAAGCTCCATTTCCTAATTGTAAGCTGGGAAAACTATTGGACCACAGAATTATTATGAGAAGAGCACCCTGCACGGTGCCTGGCACGCAATAAATAATTTCCCTTTTCTCATTTCCTTGAAAGTCATGCCACTAGAGACCCTAGCATTACCTATGCTTTCCTGGCACCAAGTAATCCGGAAAACCCTGACTGGGTAACCCCTCAACTCTCTTTACCACACCCTCCCTTCCCACACGGCAGAGGGCACTTATGTCTAGAGATTTCCCAAGCCAGATATGCAGATGGTTCTTACAGTGATCTTGGGTTGCAGAGAGAATTTTTTGTTTCAAAACAATGATGATTTAATTTGGACAATACACCTTTGCCCACTGTCAAAATAATTAGAAATATTCCATCCTTAGGATGGTTGTGAAGATCAAATATAAATGTGGTGAAAATTGTTATTTACGTAGATATATACTTACCATACATACATAATGCTTTGAGATGTCTAGACTGTGGTTTGTAAATGATCGCATGTTATATTCAAACGATAGTAAGGATCATTTTTCACTCAGGTTCCTGTTAGCACCTCTGCCCAGAACCTACAGTATCTCTATTCGGATGTCTATTAGGCATCGGAACCTTAACCTGTGCAAAGCAGAACTGTTGATTTCCCTCCCTCTCCTTTCCCTGCAATACCACTCCTCTCCCTTGGGCTTGCTTTTCTGGGGCAGAGCACTACCATCTGCTCTGCGGCTCCATCAAAAACCTGGGACTCAACCTTGTTCTTACCCCAACCTTCTGTCTCACTAATCCATCAACCCATCTTGTTGGCTCAATTATTCTAATATATCCTGGAACCCCTCACTTCCGAGAGCATTGATACCAGTCTTCTTGCACCTTGGGCTCCTGAGTCCCTTTACGAATCTGGTGACGTCGGTGGACACCTATCACTTTGCTCATCTCCGCTGGTCCCGCCCTGGTCCAAGCTACCTCCACTTACCTGGACTTCTGGAATACTCTCTGAACTCTACTTTTGTAGATCCCACTCTCGTTCCCTTCCATTCTATTCTCCACACAGCTGCCGGAACGATCATTTAACAATGGAAATCTGGTCATATCATGCTGCAGCTTAAAGCCTTCCATGGACTTTTCATGATAACGGGAGCAAGATGCAAACTCCTTGTGAGCCTGTGGGACTCGGCGTGGTGTGGCCTTGCTCCTCACCTCCTGCCCTCCTTTCCTACCCTCCTTACCTGCATTCCTGCCTCCACTCCCGGCCTCAGCCCTGCTCGCCTTCTTGCCTCGCCTCACACACCGCACCACAGCAAGCACGCTCCTGCGGCAAGAAGCCGCTCTACCCCGCCTGCTGAGCATTGCCTTCCTCCGAGTCGCCTGGAGCTCAGCTAGCCCCTCCCCATCAATCGAGTGTCAATTCAAATACCCCCTCTTCACAAGGGCCTTCTGGAACTCCCTCTACTAAAAGGGACTAAAAGTGGCACTTTTCCATTGATTTCTATTCCCATCCTCTGCTTAATTTTCTTGTATCACTTTGCTCATGACCTGAAATTATATTATTGATTGAGCACATTTACTTGTGCTGTTGTCTGACTTCCCCACAAGACTGTGTGTTCCCCGGGCGCCTGGGTGGCTCAGTTGGTTAAGCGACTGCCTTCGGCTCAGGTCATGATCCTAGAGGCCCTGGATCGAGTCCCGCATCGGGCTCCCTGCTCGGCGGGGAGTCTGCTTCTCCCTCTGACCCTCCCCACTTTCATGTGCTCTCTCTCATTCTCT